TCTCTCTCTCTCTCAGTCAGTCTCAGTATCTTTCTCTCATTTGGTCCTCCTGTGTTTCTGGTGCCAGAGTGCGGTCGGCAGGTTCTGGCAGCCTTGGTACTCTCGCCGCATCTCGCCATCCGTCAGAGGCGGTGTGGCATTGCAGGGGGCGCCTGCCAACGTCACGTTTAAAAGGCCGGCCCACGGCTCCAGGAGGCGAGACATCCCAGCACCCTAATGACATCATCATAGAATAGGAGATTACAGATTGCTGAGACGGGTAAAATCGAGGGAAAAAGCCTTAAAGGTGATATGGTACCTTTCCCAGGTGGTCCAGCAGGCAGGTAGCGGCGCTGATGTAAGACCAGCTGCTGTCCTCCCAGCCCGGGTTCAGCCTCTGATGGTTGTGAGTCTGCCGTGTCTGGCTCTGGATCAGAACCACGTTGAGGTGTTTCTGGGAGCCTCGCAGCCTCTTGGACAGAACGCCACTGTAGCTCTGATCCACAAACAGCAAAACACGAGTCGCTTTGCAGCCAGCCAGGTCGGCCAGCAACTCGTTGACCGAGTATCGCTCCTTCAGATCAGCCTGGATAGAGAGACAGAGTAATGTTTTAGAAGTCAGGGTTTGGTAGCACGTATTGGTAAATACAGTGGGATAAATGTTATTTACCAAGTAATACACTAAAGTGGTCAGGTTGGGAACCCATAGGTTTCTGAATATTTCTCCTAGTTGCTTTTAGTGTTGCTTAAAATAGTAGCAATGCATTTTTACTGCCGCTGAAGTTCAACCAAAACAAGTGCAGTTCCTGGGATTGCCGGGATAGTGTGCTTCTGTTCCCGGGATAGAAAATGTCTCATTTTTGGGAAAATATTAATCCCTAATCCACTGTGTTTCAAACGATTTCTCGCATCACATCACCAGATGCTGTGTGCTCTCTGATACAACACATTAACAGAATTAAAAACATAAAATTCTAAATCCTGTTTACCAGGATGTGTGTACAGTCTGGACCCAGTCTGACCAGTTGATTGATGTTAAACATTTCTCTGTAGTTGAAGTGCCTTCAACCAGATGAGCTCATATCCTCATTTTGAGAAACCTAAATGTGACGACAGAAATACTCTAGTCCGGGTGGTCCTTGTGCATGTGTGTGTGGTCAGAGGATTCTTCTTATCAGGATAATAATGGCTCCCATGTGTGTCCGATAAATCATTTTCCATTCTGTGTTGGTGATCTGCTTCAAAGACACCAGAGAGTTTCACTTTGAAATGTGTATGTGTGTGTATCTGTGTGTGTGCTAGACACTGCTGCATGATATTTTCTGTATATACCGTGGATGTATTAAAGGACCAGTGTGTAGGATTTAGTGGTATCTAGCGGGGAAGTTTCAGATTACACCTAACTGAACACTACTGGCGTCAGTATTAAACAAGTAATTCTGCCAATAGATCCTCCTGAATTTACACACAGTGGACCTTTAAGGGAGAACTGGATACAGCGTTGGAGGCGCTGTACTGTGATGTCATTACATTTGTTTACATCCACCTGTTTTTATGCTTGGCTAAGGTGGAAAAGGTTGTGTATCAGTAAAAGCAAAAATAAAAAACAAACATAAATGCCATATTTTCATCACATTTGTTTTTCTACATTGTCATCCACCATTTGAGGTTTGTGTCCTCTTCTGCAATGATTTGACGGCACATGCTGGAGAATTAGCGTCACCAACTGTTTATCTTCATGAACAAACTCGTAGTGGATGGAAACACACATTGTCTTACATTTTATTTTGCTGATTTTGTAGAAATTCACTCAAAATGTGTTCTACATTTGGATGGACTGACACACACTGATTTCTTTCTTTCCTGCACACTCAATCAAATCAGTGCCTGATCACTATGTGTATGTATGTGTGTCTCTTACAATGCCATTGAGGTTGGCATCCCACAGCAGCATGGTGCCGTCGTTGCGCGTTGGCGAATTCAGGTAGAGAACCAGCGTGTCGGCGCAGTGCTGCTTCCTGCAGACGTACGACACGTGGTTACGAATCACCGCTTTCTCCGTCGCAGAGTACACACCCTCTACATCTTCTTTGGGGGGAGGGGAGACAAAAAGAGGAGTTAGACATTAGACATTACTTACCGCAGCCCCTGAGCTGGGTTTAGACAGGATTAATGTCAGAAAGCAACATGGGTTTTAAGTGCAGCTGTAGGACTTATATTTGGTCAGTGAAACAAAAGAAAGAAACATTTTGGAGTTGAGTAACACCACCCTACCAGGAAGCTGTCCGCTGCTGGCGAAGAAGGTCTTGATGTGATCTTTGTGGAAGCCGTTATTCTGCAGCATTCTGTAAAATTTCTGAAGATTCTGAACGTGCCGCTGGAACGTCATCTGCTGCTGCCAGCCACCTGGAGCATACATACACACAACCATTAACACAGCACAGCACCCTTTAGCAGTTTGGTGCTGCTGTGACTGCTGTGTTTGACTAGCAGAAACACTACTACCTTTGCAGTTAATCAACATCAGAAGCATGCATTTAGTTCCTGGTTGCTGAGTCCTAACTTTCAGTGATGTTTTATTGTAATAATGCGAAGATTGTGTTGGTTGGTGGTGCTAAAGGCTTGTAATAGCCAAAAGCAACTGTCCCAAGGTTGCTAATTTGATCCAATGATCTGCACTTTAAAGATTATATGAGATTTAGAACATTAATATAGCAGCATAAACAATTGCTATGTAAAGATATAGTGGAGTCATGGTGTCCTGAGTACAGTATGACCTGACACTCCCTTTGGCTGTGTTGCTATCGCAGCCTCTCTGTGGTTTGTTTACATAGCTGGTCCGCTCCGTGTGCAGCTGAGCAGAGAACTGGAACTGCTGTTTTTGTTATCTATATCAGTAAATTAAGGATTTATTTTGACTAAACCAGAGTTGGTGATTGTTCGTAAGTGGAACACGATTATCTGTTAGGTCAAATTACTGGTTTTGTCAGTTGAGTCCGGTCAGCAATAGCGCCCATTGTTTGGTCTGAGATGCTGATACTCTAGTGCAACATCTAGTGGCGAACAAATTTCATAATCATTAAGGCTTAGCTACATTAAATGGAAGCACTGTATGTGTTGGGGGCATGTTTGTCTAGATTGTCAGGTAGCTCAAGCTGTCAGGTGCTTGTCATTCCACTTAAATGAACAATAAATCCAAACTCTAGACATCAAAACATCCCTTGATAAACCTCACAGAACCTGAGAACATGTTACCTTCAGTCATAGTCCCTTGTGTTGTGTTTTAATCATTTGGTGATAGTCAGAACAATGCAAATATGAAAAAACACACAAACCGTCCTACCTGAGATGAGCACAGCGTGGTCACAGGTCTGGTAGAGTCGGCAGGAGAGATGAGTGGCCAACGGCTGCTGGTGACAGCGTCTGGTGTTTTTATTTAGCTCACAGCTTGAGACTGGCAAACTGGGAGAGCCCATTGGCAGTGGCTGAGGGCACTTTGCAAACTCTGCATGGTCTGTTGGAGGAAAAAAGTATCAGCATCCTGGAAAATGCACAGGTGCTTCTCTTGAAAACAACTTCTAAATAAAGCAGAGCCTGACATCAGGTCCAGTCAATCTTGGTATGCTAGTATACTCAGCAGGTTCAAATGTGTCACAGTCTGCAAATAAGGAATACTTTATCTCCATATGTTTGTAGCATGCCAGAGGTGGGTTTGCGGTTTTATCCTGAGGATTGTCTATGTTTGCCATAACAGCATGGTAGCAATTTCCCAGCAGTTGTTCTCACGAGGCCCAGGTTGCTGGCAGAGGCTGCAGGTGTGGGTGGTCTTGGCATAACATGAGAATAATTCAGCATTTTACTCAGAAAGCCTCCAAATGCAACAGAAAGCCCCTCAACCTATAAAACAACCTTCATTTGACATCATCATATTTTTCTTCTTCTTTTCTTTACATCTAAAATGTAATACAAATTTCTGGTTGTGAATAAAATATCTCCACAGTTATTGTAAAACATTTTTGTAATTTATATCACCCTTTATATCCCACATTTTCGCCATCATGAGGTCAAAATGTGATGATCTGTCCAATATTTTGATTTGATTGACCAAAAAAACTAATTCCATTCCCATCAGCCACAGCTTTACTTTGTGTACTCATTATGAAATGTTAGTATCCCATAAACATGGTAAAGCTTATACTTAGAAAACATTAGCATGTTAGCACTGGTATTGTGTGCATGTCAGCATTATGACATTAGCATCCACCTAAAAGCATTGCTGTGACGTGCAACCTCACAGAGCTGCTAGAATGGCCATAGAGTCTTAGTCTTGTTAAAACTTTCTTTTTGTGTGTTCAAAGATGCTCCATTTTTCTTAAATCAAAGTTTGCTCTTTTAACTGTAGTTAGATGAAACGACTGCTATCATCTTAATCTGTGGGTTCAGTCAAGACTAAGGATGTGTTTAGCCTAGTTTAGGGGTTAGGGGTTAGGACCAGTTTTGTTTGGTAAAAGGAGATGGCAAGATTCTGTTTAGTCCAGCGGAACCCCGATAAAAGGGCTGATTTAAGACCTACCAACACATCTGAGTCTCTGCGTTTGGTTGCTGTCTCCAACTCCGACCACCAGTGGAAGAAAGTGGACTTCACAGAGCCCCCCAGCGGCCCGCTCCACTAGACGGCTACCACTGCTGGTAGTAATGGTCCCACTACGCAGCGCCCCACCTGCCAGCCGACTGTGTCCGTTACCAATAAGCCTCTCTGGCCCAGCCTGCCGACGCTTCAGCTGGTTCTGACAGCGACCCTTCAAAGCCAGAGTCAAACACTCCTCACCTGAAGACGCAGAGAGGGACAGACATTTTGATGATATCTTTGGAGACAAGTTGAGATACACACTTTCCTGCAGTGCGAAATAAGATCATTTGGCCATCACTGTCAGCTTGGCCTCTCCTTCTGTGCTGAAAAGGTACAAATGTATTTATAAAAGTGGAAAGTTGTTCTCAAACAGAATCACTACAGATTAGATCACATGTGTGTTAAAGGTGTATGTATACTGTATAATGCCATAGATATACTTGTTAACCATGGAATCGCTTTGCAGATACAAAATTGGTCTGGCCCACTGATAGCCATTGGGTCTAGATACAGTAATTATTTACTGTCCACAGTTGTTCCAGATCTGGTAGCCACTCATGGCCCATGACATAGCCATATCTCAGCCATATCTCAGCCAACTGTCTTTGTGTAGTAATGTGTCAACAAAGAGTTAAATGAGGAAATTCAATAAGCCTGAACACCACACCAAAAAGAAATAAGTCTGCTGAAATTTGTCTGGTCCAACATAAGGCCATAATGGGGCCAGATATACAGTTGGCTGAGATATGGTTATGTGGTTATGGTTATGACCATATGTGGATAATTATTCACGGTTGTATTTGAGCCAAGTGTACGAGCCAGACCAATTTTGCCCCAAGAGGTGCACAACCAACGGTCCAACGGACGTAGGATACGCGAGGCAGCCATCATGCACATACAAATGTGTAGTTAACAGCAAATATATCTCAATGCAAAGGCTCAACTGCTCCTTAACTGTTTGACATTCTTCCTCTACGATCCCCTAACAGGTTAATCTACCTATGAGTAAATTTATTTATTTTATTTATCCTCCTCACATCTTGAGCTTCTTGTTTATGGCTTCTATACTTCTCCCATTCTCTCTTCTCATCTTTGTACCAAGTCTCCCTTTTCTTCTTCTCTCTATTTCCTCTCTCTTCCTGCCCTACCGAGGTTAAACGAGGTCAGAAAGTTTTACTCTAAAAATACTTATCTAAACCCATGTACAGGACCCAGCAGGGGGCACAGTGCCGTGTCGAGTGTATGAATAATTGACAGGTGTGTGTTCGTGTAACACAGAGCCAAATTCACCTCAACATCTGGCCCTAACCTCTCTCACAGTGGGAGGTCAACAACTTGCACTTTCAAACACGTCTTTTGTACTGGACTTGTGAGGACCATCAGAGAATACATTCACTCACCATTGACCGTTTCAACATGAATAAAGCACTTTGGAAACACTCCCCCTTTTGGCCTTTTATCCACCACCAAAAGTGGAGCTTTTTATAAATGCTGATTGTCAACCCTCTTTCAATGTGAAATTTCAATATGACCAAAATACTCTAACTTTGCTTTTAGTGTCACGAAACAACAGTCTATCTCCTGAATTTCTCTGTGATTACTTGCTGTATTTTGTTGTTTTTTTGTTGATGTGCAATTCCTTAGAGCAGGTGCAATAAAATTTATCCTTCTGTTTCTGCTGTCAGATGACTTTTGAAGTACAAAATTGTGATTTAATCTATGGACAAAAATGCTCCCAACTGAGGTTTACGGTAATTCCTCAGTGGCTGCATTAATTTTGTTATAGAAAAAAAGATTTACTTTTTTGATATACTCATAAAAGTGAGACCCCAATTTTAATCAATCTTTAAGATCAGCATATCTTACCCTAACCCTCTAAACTTGAAAGAAAGTTGTATTACAATTTCAGTGCTTTTATAACTTTGGCCATTTTGTAGTTGGTTATCACAGAGATAGAAGAGCACGAACACACATGCAAACACACAGACAGAGATGACGAGGTAGCTGGGTCAAACCCCCTCTGAGCAGGAAAGTTAACTGCATCAGACAATGACCTATAAATGGAGCTTTCAGTGGGTGAGACCACGCACATTCAACCTGATAACAAGAAACATTCATAGTCAGACAGCCAGCAACTAAAACAACACATAGGGCAGCTGTGGTTCAGAGGAAGA